GGTCCGTCGGCGAGTTGGTCCGTCGGCGAGTTGGTCCGTCGGCGAGTTGACTGGATACCGGAAGAACTGTTTCAAAAGGTCTCTAGCACTTGTGAGGCTTTATAATTTAAAAACAGAGGAACAAAGTAAAGATACTGATGTTTTGTATGAACATGATTTTATTGTGTTATATTGCTCAACTTATCTAGTGTCACCCATTGCTGTGATTCTCTAAAATATTTTGTCCTGCAGCCATGAATTAATCAAACAACTGCAAGAAGTTCGGTCAGTGAATTTAGATCTAGCTGTTATGGTTGTTCATCAGGTGGGTGGGGCTCTATCCTGTTATTGTGGTGTTTATTTCTGTTGTTGGTAAAAAAAATAGCCTGCAAACAGGCCCTCATTATTAGAGTTTTGCCAGGCATCTGGCACTAATAATGAGTGCTAGACCCCTTACAGACTTCTCGTCAGCTTGCATTGCTTGTTGCTCATGCCAAAGCGCTAATACTGAGGGCCTGCTTGCAGGCTAGTCTAAAGATGTTGTTGATGACTCAAAAAACTGATACAGAAAATTTGGAAAGTGAAGTGACCGGCAAGGACATAGTCTTGCTCCATATGCATGATGAAAGTAACACTACTGTTTATGGTATTGTAATCAGTTGAATGTTTTCTTGCAGCTGTTGGACAATGCAATGATATCTGCAGGACTACTTGATGACCCAAGGAGCATGGTGAGCAGACTGAACTCTCTATTAGCTCAAGTGCTTGACTCAGCTCATGGAACTGCAAAACCTGAGTGACCATCCACTTTTATTACACCTGATCTGATCACAGCATAGCTGGCACATTGTCTCCAGTGTGCCAGGATCCAGATGGGGATCTGATCAGGAGAAAAACTACCCTGCAGTATGCCTAACAACCAGGAAGATATGATGCAGACAAATTGCAAAATCCTATTACAAAAATATGGTATTTAATGCTAATGAAATCTATCTAGGTCAGGATTTTTTATGTATAGGTGTGTCTTAGTTAAGAGTCATGTGTTCAGTTCTTGTATCAGAGCAATGGTGATTTCATCAGGAGTTTATGAACTTCGTTGTTGCCCTCGTGATCTTTTATTAAATGTAGTATTAGTGTTAAATGTCTATTTTTTTTCTGAGAAATATTGAGAATAGATACAGAGCAAACACTGATAACCTGTTACTGAGTTGTAAAGAATAGCTCATTCATACATTTACTTCGTTGATTGGAGGACTGATATACATGTCAAATATGAGTACCTCACTGAACATCAATAAAATGTGTAATGTCAATTAATTCAATAATTTTTGTGGAACTAAAAGTTTTAATGACAGCTGCATACTGTAGCAAAATCGGTCCTTAAGATACATTTTTGTGATTAAAGTGATTTACTTTACATGAAACTACCTGTGGTTACTTCTAGACAGTTTTGGCATTGTGCAAACAGTCCCTTACCTGTTATAAACCCAAGCTGTCTCAAAAACTTAGGGCATTTTCCTTCCTAAAAAATATTGATGTCACAAAGGATGTTCCAAAATAACACAGCACTCATAATGGTAAATTAATGGGGTGGGGTGCAAATTTGCAAGGTAATCACACAATTTTGCATGCAACTTGGAATAAATCTTCACTAGTGAATTAATGACTTTCTTGTCAATCCATTGTTTGATAGTAATTTGCTGGATTCTCCAGCTGCTGGAGGTATTTGCACAATGTCACAATAGGTAGAATTTTTAAGCATGAGTAAGATTTTTTGGCTTATTTACACAAAATTGCACGAGAAATTTTTCTAATTTACAAATAATTTACATCAAAAAAGTATTACAGAAAATAGACAGCTGACTTTTTGACAGGGTGTGCAATTTGTAATTTGCCCTTGTGTCACAACTTTGTACTCATGTAACATGAAAAATGCACATGCCAATCAGCCAAGTGGCCCAATCAATATCAACCACTTTCACCACCACTAAGGGGAATGATTGTCTTTGTATATATACTTATAGAGACATACATTT